CTTCTGTTAAAAAAAATTGAGAAGAAGCAATTTTGTCAGAACAACACTGGTGCACTGGAACTCTGAAGCTGAACTTAAAAATTTTCATTCAACTTAGCATTCAAGTTTTGAAGTGTGAAAAACAGAGGAAGAGAATTACATATGAGTTCCTACCATAGAGAAACAGGACCACACCTGTACCCAGTTAATTTCCAACATTTGTTAACTGATGCATAACTCAGAACAGCTTTCAGCTTCCTCATTTTGTTTCTCACATCTACTGACTATTTTATTTTTAAGTCAAGAGCCAATGAAAAGACTTGGTTTAGTAATCAGAATTCCCACAAGTAAATGAACTTGTCTCATCTCACAGCTTGCCCCAACAGGAATACCTGGCACCAGCCATGCTTGCCTTCTTGCTGCAATTGGAGATCCTTCCTGGAGAGCTCAGGAACAAGCTAGGAGGAAAAATCCTAGGCCAAGAGATCTGAGTCAATCCTGATGGCTGAAAGAAGATAATAAGGGATAAGGAAACACTGAATAAATTGTAGTATTTGGAAGCACCAGGTGAGGATAAAATAAAATACTCACATTGAAGTATTTCGGTGTTCGAAAGACATTACTATTAACTGATGTGTGTCTCATGTCCCCCTTGTTATGCTGGAATAACACCAATTCTCTCATAAAACATATATTTTAAAGTGTTTGCAGTACTAAACTGAGTGCATCACTGCACCTGAGAAGAAATTATACACTGATCATACACTAAATAATGACAACAGAAAAGAAATACTGAATTTACTTCATGCACTCTCTGCAGTGGATGAAGTGGGCTTCCTTCCAGCAATACCCTCTCTTTTGTTGGTGCAAACATGGTACCTCTAACTATACAGGATCAACTGTGTTAATGCCCAGCTCTCACAATTACCCCAATTTGCTCAAGTTTAGGATTAATATTTTTGGCAGGAAATCCTAAACAGAAAACTAATTCATATGGCTTTAAATCAGTGGCGTGTATTTTCACTGGCTTTCATTTACAGCCTTCACACAAAAAGGCACTATGTTGTATTAAAAGTTTGCAAATCAATTCCACAATAGAGCTGGTGCAGCTGAATTAATTTTCTCAGTGAGAATGTGCCTATGCTGTGGTTTGCCAAATAGATCTGGCCCATGGGCCATCCCTTGCAGACTTCTTTATCAGAGGCCCTTCAAATGTGGCCCAAGATTGACCTGTACAATGTATGAATTGTTCTGGCAGTCTATGTCCTGCTGCCCTTTTCTCAAAGTGCTGCATGGTCCTTTGTGGCGATGCGGTGGGAGACAAATTGATCAGTATCTTCTTTATATTCAATCATGTAACAGATTACATATGCTGCCAGGGAAACGCCTTTAGGAGGGTTAGGTGAAATAGACCACTACTGTCTGACTGTTGATACATCTATGACATGCACAAGAGATACCTTCTATGTTAGTCCCATAAGAGAAGAGAGGTCCAGGTGCACAGGAACTTCCATATGAGGCTCTCCACATACTTGCTGTGGCCACTTGTTGTGGGTCACTTGTTACAGAAAGATTAAGCAGTTAACCAAGGTTCAGAGAGCAGCTACCTCACATATAATTCATATATATTATTGTAGACCAATACATGGCTACATTTTTCCATATAGCTAGAATAAAAGTAGTACTGTAATGAATCAAGCTTGGACTAAGTAGTCTGGGGTTACAGTTAGATCTTGGGTATTGCCTAAACATAGAACTATAATTAATCGCTTTGAAGTTTCTTAATAAAATCCAGATAGCATTTATGTATCTCAAAGGACTGTTGCTCAGTTTACTTCCTGTGAATGATTAAGATTCATGAAGATAAGTCATATTATAGAATGAAAGAAAACAAATTTGAAATACAGTCTTGATAATCCACAATAAATACACGCAAATTTTCTGTATTTATCAGTTCCTGTAAATAACGCGAGGTTTTGGAATAAACTGAAAATTAGGCACTTGACCAGGACTTACTTTTCTGTAAAACACCACCCTCCCTCAATCTTTTCTACAATATATATCATACAGAATATGAACAAATATCTAAGATTTTTGAAAAATTTATTCTACTGCTATATTTTAAGTGGGACTTATATTGATATAATATACATTAAAATCCTAATGCTGACTCAGCTTTAGAGTGTAAAACAAAGTAAGAGGTTTATGAAGATGCTACAATTAAAAAAGCAGAATTATTTTCTTTATATGTTAGGTCTAGAAACAGTTATTTTCTTTTCAACAGGAAAGTGACAATTCTTACTTTTTATGCAAATTAACAATCATCATTAAATGTTATTATTTACCACAAAGCAATTTTTCACTTATTAAAAGTTTTGAAAATAAAAAAATAAGATAGTTACCAATAAATTGGTAGGGCTAGGAGGTTGGAAAGTACATGCTAGAAACATCCTTTTAGTATTGGCCATACCCAAAAAAAGATATTTCACTGACCCCATAGAGTGTGAGAGTATAAGGATGGGTGGACAAGAATGTGGTCCCCATTATTCTTTCATTCTCAACTTCTATCTTAAGAAGAATAATTGGACTACAGAGAAAAATGAAAAGGGTAAGAAACAAATAACGAATTCCATGAACCTCTTCTTCTTTCTGAACACTGCTTCTAGCACTGTCTCACACAACTGTATTTCTTAGCTACTGCTTCTGGAGCTTTTCACAAATAAAAGCTTCAGCATAAAGTTTTAAGAACAAAGCTTAAATTTCAGGTGCAACCATAGTAGGTTGTTGGAATAATGAAGAGATACAAGTGACAGCGCTACATATCTGTCCCAACACAGTTCTGTAAAACAAACCTTGATCAGTACAAGTGGATTACTCATACCAGGTGTTACCTATTTTAATAGTCTTTACTACTCTAATAGAAGCAAGAGATTGTCTACATTTATTTCTGTAAAGGTAAAAATGTGAGGACCTCATTTCAGCCATAGTACACAAAAAGAAGCTAGGATTTAATTAATCTGCTGTTCAAATAAAACTTGATCATGGAGAAACTTGCAATAAAACATCTCATCAGGAAGAAAAGCTGTATCAGGATGATCTCCTTCAGTGTCTTCAGTCTTGCCCACCTTCCCAAGTAATGGTGAGGTAATTTCCTACTAAAAAAAGCTGTTGTCACTGAACACAAGACTAAGCATAACACTGCAGCTTCTTAAAATGGGTCGCTACAAGAGTACTTCACTGAGATTTTACACTTGAAGTGGGAAACGTGCAGCTCAACAGCAAGGGCTTTGGAGGTGACAACATCCATTTGTTGATGACAGAATATCATACAGGGACAAAACAAGCCAATCAAGCTCTGAAAAGAAGAAAGATAGGCGTCAAAGGTATTCAGCCTAGGGATTCAGCGGTCTAGGTCACTGTGCTGTCTCAAAGGACAGTTGGGGCACACTCCTTTTACAGGAGCATCATATTTCTTCAGAAACTGTCATCCTTTTGTGGTTGGTGCTTCAATCCTTTGCAAGTCCTGTTCTTGATAGTAGTGAAAGGCTCTCAGAAACCAGTGGCTTTTGAGTGCCGCTCAGACACCAGGACATCTGCACTGAAGATCAAAATGGGGAAAACATGTGAGCAGGTCAATGATGATGCCAACACAGCAGCTGAACTGCCAGAGCTTGCAGGCAACCAGTCAGAGCATGCACTTCTCCGTCCTTAAAACTAATAGCAGCAATACATTTTTTAATGTGCTTTTTCAGACTGACCAACAATCTCCTCTTTTTAGGTAGTACTGGGAATGGTACACTAGAAATACGTAACAGGATTAAGATGGAAATCTTAGGCTTCCATGCATGGTAGATAAACACCTGAATCTTTATCAACAGCCATACAAGAAGTTCTCTTGCAGTCACCAGAATTCTTACTTCACAAAACCAGTTACAGACAGACAACATTAGTATCTTATGTATGCTTCAGAACATGGACACACTCCTTGAAGACAAATGAACAGAAGAAGGATTAAATCTGCATGCATGGAAAATGAATTATAAATGGCTTATCTGCAGAGGATATGCGATTCTCCTAAATAGTAAGAGATACCATAACAGTCAGCCTCATAAGCAATGGAGGCTATCTCCACTGTCAAACTTTATACTTAAGACTTAATTGAAACCAGAGGGGAAAAATTTAAACTTTTGCAAATGTGATTTGTAAATCTGTAAATATGATTGAATAAAAGTTAACACAGCCTAAGAAGATTAATTGTCAAAGATCCTAATCATCAAAGCCAGGTAAGTATTTTCCATCTTGCTTATTTCAGAGAGACTTGAGGTACCTTTAGCAAAAATGGATGCAAACTAACCATGTCACATTAGACATGCTCAAGCACAATGCCATAATATAGCTACAGTGATGGTGAACCAGGCTTAGTAGGACTGCTCTCACTATGCTCTACTGATGCATCTATGCACTACCCAAGCAGTAAGAATCAGTCAGTGGCTGGACATGTTCCAACTTACAGATTTTCACCATTGGAAGCGGAAGACGCATGGCACACATGCACAAACTTATCAGACACCACTGCCTAAAAACTGCTTCAGCAATTAAGCCTAAAAGCAGAACAACTCAAAACCCTCCAGATCCTGGGAAGATGAAGAGTTAAGAAATGAAGCGGCATTAATTAACTGAGTCCCAGCCTACATTAAATAAGCTTGAAACTTAATGTGCAGCAACTATGCCTAGAATGAGATCCTAACAGATACTCTGTAGACAGATTTTTGTTCTGTATTAATGCTTTCACGTAAACCTGTTTAATTGGGAAAAAAATGCTCCACATTGCAAGAGCAGAGGAAAATTGGAGCAATAGTTATAGCTTCAACCACGATGCCAGGCTAGATATCTTCCCTGTCTATCACACTGTGCATCAAAATTTAGTACTTAAAGAGTTCAATGTTTTTATGGGTAAACCTGGGGAGAAGTAACGCTGCAGAAGAAAAGCACAGCAGAAAACTACAAGAGCCCACATATCCTTTTAGTTTAAATTTAATTTGTCAGATAGAAGTTATCTATGTACAATCAGTGTGCATTGTAACAATTCTGTCAATAAAGTAATTCAAATCTTCTAAAATATTAACTGGCTGCATAGCACATTTGACATTATTGCCCATTTTAAAGAGGGAACACAAATGGATTTACAATAAATTTTGGCTGATCTGGATTCTGAAGTGTTCAGATATTTAACACTCCTTCTTTAAAACCAATGCACCTGAAAAACTTTCCAGAGCACAGTTTAGCTGGATATTTCTTACCATTTCATTACAAACAATCACAACACTGACAGTTTAATAGGGAAAAAAAAAAACCCCAACCAAAAACACCCCCCAAAACCCAAAACATGTATCTAAAGTATCCAATAAAAAAGGAGCACTAAATGGAATAAAATGTTCCCTTTCCCCATTTTTACATTCTGAACAGTGATTCCATCAAGATACTTTATTAAAACATGTAAGTACACTGATTTTGTTTCATTCTTGTAACAAGAAGGCCTGAGTTGGTGGGGAAAGGAACAGTCAGAAAAAGCCTGAGAGGGAAAAAAGCTCATTTAATTAATTTACAATAATTTACAGCCATTTGTTTGTGTGTTTTGTTTTGTAGTTTGTTTGTTTGTTTTGTAAAAAGGCATTATAACTGATCACAAACAGGAGAAATCCTCGCTATTTTACAGTTATAGGTACAGAATTTAAATATTCAAGCTTGTGATGAAAAGCGGCAAGGTGGTCGCAGTGTACAATGTAAACAAGTAGCTTTGGAAAGTGAACAAAGTCCTTGAGAGTTCTTTACTAAGAAACAAAAGAAAATAAACTCCTCATTCCTTCCTGAAATATGAGCACAGGTCAGTGTTTAAAAGTTCATTTACAAACATAATTTAAAACGTGTTCAGCCTAAAACTACTTTGACATTAAGAGTTTTATAGTAAGATCCAGTCTGAAAGGGGCAGTGTTGAGGTCCCTGTAAAAGTAAACATCTTTCATTTCTTAAAAAAGAGTGCCGCAACATTTGCAGCACAGTGCAGCATAAACTTTAAATACAAAAATATTTTTCTTCTGTTGGGATAATAGACCTTGCATCCTGGAAAGAAGTAACAATACTGCTACTGATAGAATATCCAGTCTGTATCTTTCAAGTCATGTAAGGCAATTACTGTGTTAGTTTACTGTATATGGCTAAAAGAAGGTCCAGAAAATGTCAGTCTTTGTTATGTTTTCCGGCTACTCCATGTATGTTCAGGTGTACTTTTGTGATCTGATGAGTGTTCAAATGGAGATCTGTGTCCTAGGGGAGATCTTGAACCATAAGGAGACCTCTGATCTAACGGTGACCTTGGGCAACTACCTGAAGCTCTGTGGTCCATTTGCCAGTCTGAGTGGTACCTATAATCTCTAGAAGATTTATGATGGCTGTATTCTGAAGTGGAACGGTGATCTGAATGTATCCTGTGGTCTGAATGGGAACGGTGATCTGAATGAACCCGGCTGTCTTTTAAACTTCCTTCCAGGTTTGACCTGTGGTCTCTGCTCCTGTAGTCATCTAATTTTCTATGTTTACTATCACTGTAGTATCTAAAAAAAAAAAATTACTTGTATTAGTGTTACTGAACATACATTAAGAGCCACAATTATGTCAAATCAACAGAACTGCATTAGACAGATATCTTTGCAATTTTGCATTACTCAAAAATGATGTTTTGATGCTTGTTACAAGCATACTACAAAAACAGGGAATTCTGAACAGGTTTTAAAATCGCTGAAGAAACTTACCTGCTGTCTTGTTTGTAGTGATCCCAATCTCTGTGATCTTTTCCATTGCTGAAGGCTGAATAGGACCTTTTCCTAGAGTCATTTTTCTTGTAAGCATCTCCCTGATGCCTGTCTTTATGATGATCGTGGTATTGTGAAAAATGTCTATCAGAAGAATAACTGTCCCTGCTACTGTCATCATGGTTTGTATTCTCCTTTAATCTTTCCACATCTGTTTAATAAAGCAAAGGTTAAAAGGAAGTCTCTAAGTCTTTCCTTCACCTAATTCAAACAGCACTTCTACCCGTCAGGTATAAAGCAGTATGAAAGTGACATTATAATTTGACAGAAACAAGATCTAAATAGGTGAAAGACAAATGCACTAATGTGAATGAACTGAAAGAAATCCAGAAGTAAAAGGGAAGCAAGCTAAAATGTAGATGTGTAGGACTTGGAAATGAAACTTTTCAACCTCTCCATTCAATCTGTGAAGCTAAGCATGGTCCAAATGAGCAGTAAGTAGAGGTGCCTGTAGTAGAACAATTTTAGACAGAATGGTAGCAACTTCCTCTCTAAGAAGGGATGGCCTTAGCATGAATAAGAGTTTTAAAGGTACACCTTAATAATGAAAGACTTTCAGTGGTATTCCTAAAGTACAATATGTTGATTTTAAGTCCCTGAAAATATACTTGAAGTGTTACATAACACAAGACAAAAGCAAGTATTACAAGAAGGCAGGTGTGAGAGCATAGAAAAATCAGTGTTACTGTCAACAACAAAAGACAGCCCATGTAACTAATTACAAACTACGACTTCAAGGAATAGCTTGTAATGTCACAGTAGTGACATTACAGCAGCTACAAATAGGCACAGAATTTCCAAGAAATTTACAGGTTTTGAGTAGACGTCTCTCCCTCCCCAAAATTAAACACAAAAAATGTTTCCAAGTTTTTTTTAAAGGATGGTCAAATAACTTGCTACTAAAACCAGTAAGTACCAGCTTCAGTCTGCACTCAGCTGGATTTCATTAGCAAACTAGTGAAGTTTTGCTAATCAGCCTATCTCTATGATACTTAGCAGTGTGGAAGACAGATCTAGGAGGCATGTGAAATGAAATAAACATGAAAACTAAGACATCTAACACAAGAATATACTTAAGGTTTCTTACCTGGATTTCTAATTACATGTGTATTCACATTGCTGCTAATATTCTGGTCATTGTGTTGCTAAAAGAGACAAGTACAAAAACTCATTGCTAAATTCCAAAGTTCATCTGAATTCATTAGAAAAATATCCTAACGAAAGAGACTACTTTACTAAAAACACAAATGCTACTTGTACACTATTTCTGTGTACCTTGTAATCCTTTAAATCTAATAAAAGGAGTTATAATACTTAAAATATACATTTGTGTATTTACAGAGGGTCTGGAAACATTACCTGAGACTCTTGGCGTTTTTTGATTGCATGTTTATACAGTTTGTGCAGCTTTCTGGCATCAAATTCCGTAAACTTAGAGACAAAAATCCACAAATTTCTGAGGAAGAAGAAGAGAGAAGTTATAATTCTTCTATCCATTTGTTTTTCTTGTATTGATTCATACAGTGTATCCATTAACATGGATTTAACTGAAGTTATTTGAACAGTATTTCAGTAAACCAGAAACACTATAAAATTTACACAGTATTGCCTAGCTGCACAGTAAACATTACCTAGCTGTATTTCAAACATCTGAAAGATTAATTCCTTTAACAATTTGTCACTTTGTAATATTTATCATAAGTACTTAAGAATGCAAAGTGCATATAAAGTAGTACTAATAACAATCATGTTAATAGAATGATTTGTGAAACTGCTTAAAAATGTAGCTATCAGTTTATGTATGTGTTCTGAAACACTCAGTAAATAAAAATTTAAGTAAGTAAAGTAAGTAAAAAAACCCTTGAAATCTCTTACACTGTAAGCATTTGACCTACAAGCCTTATTTAATGAAAATATCAGTCAGATAATTTTTCCACAGAATTCCAAAGGCTGGTCAAAGCTTTTGAAACCAAATGAGAACAGTGAAAGAGGATGGAAGTGGCATGACAATAAATTTGTGCCTAATCTGTGCTCGAAGAAATGAAGGAAGAACAAATCAAGTCTTTTGCTGTCAAGATGCCAAAACCCTGAAGAAAACATTTGCTTCTGTGATCACAGGTATTTTTTTGTATCTCAGATCACCGTAATATTTTGAAGTAAAGCAAGTAAAAACAGCAGAAGCATTCTACACTAACAGAAGTCTTCAAGAAATGAAACACTTGACAGACTTGTATATGGAAGTGCAGGATGTATTTTCAACCATTAAAGTTTAAAGTGCACATTCTGATAAAGGTAATTCAAATTGCATTAAGAACTGAACAATTAAATATAAGAAGTTTACAAACCATCAATTTTTCTTAATTTTCTTAAATTGTCACCTCATAGAAATGCACACTCTTCTTTCATTTTTGAAATATATCTCAGTACTTTATGATAAATACTTTTATCAAGTCATAGTTAATATATAACATGTAATTTAATTTTAGAGTATATTTTAAAAAGAACAGAGAATTCTGCAACTCAAAATCATACAAAGTTCAGCACAAATTTAGGATTGCCTAATTTTAGCGGGAATTTAAAAAAAAAAAAAAAAAAAAAATCAAAGTTGAGGAAAACCAGATCCTTAAAGGTAAGAATGCTTTTCCACTAAACACGCTAAGTAACAAGTTATCTAATGTTTGCTTTCGGTTATAAGAAGTGAGATGCCGCCACCTACTGGACAAAATGCATTGCAATGCAGTATGAAAAAGTCGATCCAGTAAAAGTCAGAACCATCTATAAGCATCTTTTTATAGATTCCTATTTAAAACAGCAGAAAGATACAAGAAAGGGAGAATAAGAAACGACAGAAATAATTAAAAACTATTCTGCTTAATAGAAGCAATTAAGATTTTCCTTTTTCAAGAAAAAACAAGGAGAATAACTTACTTTCTCCACTGTTTAATTTGTTCAGGATTTGTGTACTCCTTTAGACATTCAGTAATGTGATCCCCAATTTTGATTAGACACTGTCTAGTATGTTCCAGCTGTTCTCTTTCAGAAAGGCCCTTCTCTGGTCGATCCAGCTGTTTCAATGCTGCTTTCACCGGCCTCATTCTTTCTTTGCACTGTAAAATGGAAAAAAGGAATGTATTAATTCAAAGAAAGAAAAAAAAAAAAAGAATTCTAAAACATGACCCACCCTTTACTGTGATATATATATATACACACAGCAAAGACAGTATTGTTACAAGCCAAATGAAACACAAGACTTGCTCATAGCTCTTAAAAATGTTTTACAGGTTTCCTTTCAAAAAAGTTGTATTTTAAACCCTGTTGGCAATTTACTCCTCTATGAAAGCATTAGACTGTATAAAATACAGATATCAAGGATTTAAGAATTTAATTTAAGGGATTTTCTGAGGAAAAGGACTCATTAAAACTGGGTTTTACAATCATAGTTATAACTTTCAGCACAAGCATATAGGACAAGACATACTTTTTAGCACCTTGAAAGCTATACAAACTCAATGTCAAAATTAAATATGAGAGTGTTCAGTACATTTCAAACAGATACTTTCTGCAACATTTATTGATCTGAGATTTTACTAGCAAAAGATCACCTGTGTTACTGTGCCCAATAACAGAATCAAGAACATCAGAAATTGTCCTCATTTAGACTACATCAAGTATAAGCACTACCTTATCAAGAAGGGACTTACCACACTAAAAGTTTTCTGATCCAGTTCTTCAGCTTCTTCCGATATAGGAACTGGTTCACTAGTTGCAGTAATATGAACTGGAGTATCCATCAATGGAATTTTTTTAGTTTTTTCTTTATTTTCAGATTTGATTTCATTTACCTAAGAACAAGACATAAAAATATTTAAGTAAACTTTATTTTGGCTCTGGAATTGTCCTATAATACATGACAATCCCCGTAACTACTGTATTCTCTTCAATAGTAAGAATAAAAACTATGCTGACATTCAATGATAGTACATTTTACATTCTCTGTGGGACGGAAAAGGAGAATGGAAAAGCAATAAAAGAATTTCTTGCACACATTTGTACTCTCAGTCCAACTAAGATATGTATCATTGAAGATGTAACTTCCCATTTCATATGCCTGTCCTCATGGTTTCAGGTAGTAAAAATAAAACTGCAAGTGATGTAAAAGTCTTCAATGAAATGACAACTGATCAGATCCAAAATACCTTTTCACTTCAAAATCATTCGCGAAAATCTAGTAGCCTTTTCTAGTGCTATGTAAGATAAGTAAACCTAGTTACCTTCTCTTCCTTTACTTCTTTTTCTTTCTGTGTGGATTCTTTTACTTTGTTTTCTCTCTTTTCTTTAATATCTTTTTCTTTTAATTCTTTCTTATCCTCTTTTTCTTTTTTCTCCCTTTTCAAATCCCTCTTATTTTCCTTTTCTTTTGTCTCTCTTTTTTCTTCAGCTTCCTTCTTTATACCAATATCTGGCTCAGGCTTTTCTTCATTTTCTTTTTCTGCTTTATTTTTTTTATGTGGATGTTTCAGTGAAACAATCTCATCCTGCAATACGCAAGCATATATGTCACATCAAACTGAGTTCCTATCTATACAAGTTTTGTAACCATCAGATTAAAACATACTTTTTATCTGTGCATTTTTGTCTTTCTAGACATAGATTTAACACCTATCAAATAGAACTGAATGGAGTTGTAAAGATGAGAACTGCTCACTCACTTTCTTGATGTGACAAGTACTGATTTGGCAGTGGTAGTGGGGGTGAGAAATTATGTCCATTTAACCTAGAATTAATTTAGAATTCTATCCCTCTAAAACGAACCAGGTCTCGCAAAACTGAGCTGATGGTCAGGACACTCAAGCGATGGGGATGTTACAAGACCTCTGTTCTAGTTAGCTTTGTCCCAGTAACTTTTTACCAATCCTATATTAAACATTCACAGGAGAAGGTAACAAAATCCCAACTTTCTCTTTTGCAGAGGGGTTCTTTTTACTTAAAGGGGCCCATTTAATTATTTGAGGGTGAACAAAATATCACTCCACTGGTCTTCATAATATTCACTTACAAGGTTTGAGATGGAAACTCAAATCCTTTCACACACAGAAAAATACTATAATAAGTAACAAAAGCATTATGTACAGGTGCAAAAATCATTATAATATTTGAATTAATTTGAGGTACACTGTGGAAAGGCATATATAAAATTCATTGCAGAAAAACAGATGAAAGAACGCCTAATACATGAACCAAACAAGTTACTTAGATGAGGTATCAAGTAATGAGCCCAGCCAGGACTTGAGTATTTAGGTATCATGGAAACTTCCCAGCAAAATTCAATGACTTCAAGAGTCTCCTGGATGTTCTAGGAGTTAAACAGATAATTTTAAAATATTGCACACAGTATGGCAGCTAAGTAACTAAAGCCAACCGTTTAGGTGGTTAAAGCCCATTTTTGTATATAGTCCAGTTTTCAGAAGTGCAATTGTTAGTCTGTGTGCAAAAGTATTGAAGTGATGAATATCTGTCCTTAAATATACAAAAAGGGACAGCATTCTAGGCACCTTCCCAAAACATAACAAGTCAATCAACTGACTGGCAGTGTCTTCTGTTTTGAATGGAGATGAAGTCTAACACTCATTTTTTAAGTAGTCTGAACACTTAATTTGCTTAGTTTTAGGATTCAGTTGCCCATGTTAATTTACTGGGAACTGTACAATACTTACATTTCTTAGTCTTACATTCCAGACAAATTATTGCATTTATAAACATAAGCCTGTCTACATTCAAAGTTTTTTATTTTTTTCTGGCTTTATATTTTAGTCTTCATAGTACAATTTAAACACATACAGAAATGCTTTAATTAAAAATTACTATTTTTTATAGCTGTATCATGGTTCTTCTAAGGCTGACTCAGTTTAACTATGTATTTCATAAGTATTTTTCCTCTAGAGTGAGCTGACAATTACAATGGTTTGTAATAGTTTAAAATGGCTATGTAAGACACTTCAATTTAGTTTATTTTAAACCAAGTAGTAAGTATTTTAATGATACATATAGATTTGCACTGATTTATTTCAGCTACTTTCAAAGCCATAAAATTAGGTGTGACATGACCGTAAACTTTACCTAAATTTTTATTAATTAATTAGATCACAACATTTTTTATAATGTAATTTGGAAAACTACTCATAATTCCTCAGCTTATCATTAAATTAAAATAGATACAGTCTTCCATGTGCTTGTACTGACGCAACATCAACTGTAGTGGCCACAGCAAAACGATGACATTCAGGTGCTTCAATTTTATTAAGTCAAGCAGAAGATAAAATAGAAATCGATACTAAGAGGAAGAACTGAATAGCCATCTTTACCGTATGAAATATATTTACCTTGTTATCCTCATCATCATCTTCATCAGATTTTTCCGAGGGTTGTGGTGAAGAATCACTTTTTATTTCTTCTTTTATTTTTGCAGCCTTTATCACCTTATTCTTCTTAGTTCTTGTTTTCCTCCTCTTTGAATTGCCCTGAATGCAAATTTGGCTCTTTAATATGTCAACTGACAAGCATCTTTACACCACAGTTGCAAAAAAAGTTGGTGTTGGTTTTTCTTTTTTTTTTAAACATCAAATAGAGGGTTCATTTTATTCTATTTGTTGCCACTAATGACCACCACTTTTCTCAGGACTGGAGACAGAGCATAGTACAACAGTAGAGAATACATACAAATCGTAGAAGAATACTACAATATGAAACTTGCTATTAATTTCTTGAGTTAGTCTCATGTAATATGATTAGCAATACAGAGTAATACTACAGAAAGAAAAAGAGCAGAACTAAAAAAGTAAAAGATCAGCTGACATGCCCATAAACGCATTGTTTTATCTCACTAATGAATGCCAAACTTTACTTACTGCACCAGTAAGCCTTTGTGCTTCCTTCCTCGCAAGGTCTTTATTCAGTAATTTAATGAGGTAGTCTGCACGGGTCTGTAACTGCTTCGCCTGAGGTTTCTTATCTGGATCATCAGGCAAAATCTGAGGAGAACAATGGTAGTATCACAGCTATGAGTACATATTATCAAGCTTGGAACATGCTAGCCCGGAGCACACAGAACAGAAAAAGTTGTGTAAGGAAGGTGGAGAACAATCCACTTCAACTATACCTAGCAAATATGCCAGCACGCTTGAAGCAATGGAAAATCTCTCAAATGTTTTCATTTCTCTCCAATCACACAGCCAATGCAGAGTCTTGGAAATTGCGTCACAGTTTAAAACAAACTCAAGAAACCAGCCTCAGATTTCTGTTTTCATTCTAAGAGTTTATCTAAGAAATTCTGAGCTTCTGTACCAGCCATCCACAGAACTCCTGGGTCTGCACCATTCATCTTCTAAATGCAGAACTCACTGCAGGATATTGCAGATGCCAAAAATATAAATGGGTGGTTTCAAAAAACAGGCAAATTAATGGAAGGCAGGAGTAGGAATCATTAATAAATGAATTTGCACACAACCCTGGCTTCCCAAATCCCAAAACTATAGCTTGTTGGCGCTGTCACAAAGTTTACTTCACCCCAGTCTTTCCCTCAATACCTGTTGCTCACTGTTGCTAAGGAGCTATTGCACTAATTCTAGTACAGCTATTCTCATGTTGTGAGTGAAAGACAGCTTCAAGTGAAGAACCTAGGGATTAAGTATGGATGCGGAAACCAAATCAAATCTCTAGAAAAACCTCCTTCCAAAAGTTCAAGAACATAAAATGGACAAAACTAGAACATCTAAAATAGAGAAGGAAAAGACTGAAAAGAAAAATTCAAATGACAGAGGTCCAACTACATGGAAATATGGCAACATAATTGACTGCAAGAAGGTATACTTCAACGAAATACACAAGACCTTAAAATCCAGTAATATACTACAAGAAGGATACTAATAAGTACAACTGACGTCTAATGTCGCTGCAATTTCAGTTATCATAAAATAAGCTCTTTTAGTAACTGTTCTTAGTAGCATTATTACCTAAACAAAAAGAGTCCTTGATGAAATGTTGTATATGACATACCTTCTGTGTCAAACTAAGATCAGGATCCATTTTTATCATTTCCCAGCTGCCATAACCATATTCATAGATGCCTATTAACAGATTGGAATCATCTTCCTTACCCCAATCTATATCAAAATGAGCAGCCTTAGTGTGGCATGGGATGACGTATCTAGCAGAAATAAATTAGAAAGACAAATAAGGGATTTTTACTTCTGAAGCTTAGCAAGGTGGAAGGGAACATACTTAAAGTGATATAACTAGATTTATTTTCTCTGCTAAGATGCTGGTATATTTAGGAAATTAATTCAAATATTTATCATTATATTTTCTTAACATTTCTATAAAATATTTATTGAAATCAGCACTGCAATGTTTTTTAAAGCTGATCAAGACTAAAATATGAAGAACAATAGACATCTGTCTGTGGCCATGAGCTGCGTCACAGAGTTGGCTAACCATGAATAAAATCATAAATCATTATCCAAGTGTAATTGCTAACTAAGTGGATAGTTTAGGGATTGTGATACACAAGGTGGCAATGAAAAAAGTTCAGAGGATAGAAACAACTACTGCTGCGCTTTGACAGATACTACTTTCCCTTCAAGCAGAGATATACATACAGCAGCTCCTCAGCAAGCCTGAATTCTAGTCCTGGTTATTATTAGTAACTGAACACAGTCCCCAGTGAATATAATTTAGAAGCCAAAGCTGGTACTTGCTTCCATAGGAAGGGAAGAAAGAACAGATGTGGAGCAGGTTACTGCTGCCAGTCGTTACAGGGAATACAGGGACAATGCTGTCACAGTTTGCTTTGAATCAAAGTTGTCTGAGAAAAGCTAATAAAACTGGAAAAATTTTCTACATTACTACTTCCCTTAAAAAAAAAAAAATACCTTTTTCTTTCTTCTGGATCTGAAGGAATGGATTTGTGCAATGGTGCCAACTCTTCTTCATGAGAGATGACTAGCTTTGCATTCACCTGCACTCCTGAGATTCGGAATGTTGGGCCTTTGACTTTCCCAAGTCTTCCTCCTTGAAATAAATGACAAAAGTATTAAAATATTTATCTTTACAAATATCATACAGAAAAATGTAAAGAAAACAAGCAATATTGATGCTATAGCAGCAAACTTTCAATTATGCCAAATGACTTGTTCTTAACCAAATGCTTGAACTAAGCTCCAGAATCAAAAGGTCTTCCAGATAATAACAAATTACTTTTAAATTTCACACTAAGGCAAAACCATACTGCATTCTCCAATGACAATTCACACAAAGAAAGAGGAAAAAAAAGAAGTAATTTTTTTTAAAATCACCCAGCATGCCAACATTTTTGTTTATATTTTCCCCTAACAAAACTGTTTTCTGTAATGATCAGAGTGCAAGAGTAATTCAGACTTCTTGACATTTCTTATTGCTCCCCAAAGCCCCCTGAACACATTGTACCTGCTCTTTCTTGTCCAGATGAATTGTCCTTTAAAGCTTTAATGCATCCGTTATGTACAAGCTCTCCCAAACGTCTAAGATCTGTCTCTGATTTATCAACTAGCTCAGCATCTCTAGCTACAGCATCTAACCTGTAATAAAACACATTTTTATAGCTCTGAAACCTTAGTAACTGTGAATGACTCCTTCAGACTTTGAAACTAGAGAAATGATCACGCAAGTTATCAGTCACCTGCACTTGCTATGCTGTGTACAATTTTGACCCAAGAAAAAAATAAGTGATTCTGATATCAGAGGACAATACAACAAAAACTGTAAAGGACCGTAACCTACAGTTTTGAGTTAAATTACTGTAAGTCTCTTTAAAAAAAGAAAAGGAATCATTATATATAATATGTTCATATGGACTAGAAATATTTTTAAGGACAGTAAGAATGTTTTTCTTAAAATATGGAATAACAAAGAAAGCTTAAAAATAAGAACTAACAATACGGAAAATGCAAAACTAACTTTGACAGTCACAGTGGATAAACTGATAGCTTTCAACAAACTATCAAACAAGACAACTGAATGATTATCACCAATGAAGATTAAACAAGACAGCAGGTGAAGTATAAAGAAAGAGTAAGTAGTCCTGCAAATTGAAAGGTTTGTTGTGTGGCTGTTTGCATACATACCATACATGAAGAAAGGGAAGATGTTAAGCTAAAGTCATGTTGTAGTCAAGGCAAAAGACTAGACACTGTATTTGCTCTTCAACTTAAGGTTTCTTGGTATATTGTTCTAAATTTTATGAAAACAAGGTTTCAAGTTGCTACACAAATAATAACCAAACAAGTTTACCTTTCAAGAGGGCCACCAAATTTCTTGTAACTCTTGATAAACCTAGTAACAGAAAATAATTTTGCCATTTAGAGGTATGCTTAACTAACTACATTGGTTTTAAAATTGTATTAATACAATTATTAATCTTAGTATAATGCTATATGGACAATGGGGGGGAGGGGGTTAGGG